ATTTGTGGGGGAGTTTTGGGGGAGTGGAGAGAGGAGAGTTTGTGCTCCGATCCCATAATGCGGATGCTCGGCTCAGAACAAAATGCGTCAACACTTTAGTGAGGAAGTCACTTCTTGCTGATACTTGTAAAAACAACACAAGAGAGGATGCAGATGAAGTCCATGAGGGCTGGCTCAAAACCTCTGACAATCTGAAACTTGTTGGAGCATCTATCTTAGCAGATCTGGCCTCTACGCTGTTTCATACGTAGTTGATCCACAGAAAGATTATCTTCCTGAGCCGGTTTTTTCCACCAACAAGCCTGGCTGGTTTGGAAGCCTTTTAGAACTTTTATTTACCAAAATATTATATGCACCTATAAATGCCATTTTTATAGTTTCCGCCCTAACCACCCATTTTCCATGAGCTGCTCATTGTGCCAACCAAAGTTTGCCAACCCTGGTCCTCATTGCGGACCTAAGTCCCTGTGTGGCAAGGTGCTGCTTCCATGGTTATGAGAACCCACCACTGGGCACAGCTTCCTCCACACAGAAACCAGCCTTGTTGTCTTTGTACCCCTGGCACCCAGTCTGACCAAGAGGGGCTGCTCACGAAATGTTTGCAGAATATATTAGCAAATAAGGCAAAACAAGAAGTAAGCGAGCTACAGTGAGGCAGAGGGACTTGGGATCTTGGGTTTCTAGAGAGTGAAAGATCTTATTGTGAAAGTCAAGGATGGGCCATCCTCGGAGCCCGGGAGGGGAAGGATGGAAGCTAGGTTGGTTTCGAAAGGCTGTCTTAAGGGCAAGGACCGCTCACTCAGAGGTGGAAGGGAGATGGAGGCTGTGTGACCTTCTTCTCATCCATGCCAGGCTTTGGGTCTCTGCTGGCAGAGAGATGTGGGTCTGAGGGACTAGGAGTGATGGAGTATTCATGGTCCACATGGGAAACCACTCAGGCCTGCCCTTTCTACTCCCTCCCTAAAATAAAACAGGGCCGAGAACTGGCCTAGGCCTACCTGCTTCCCCAGTGTTCACTGGCCCTGGTTTGGCTGTGGGGCTGGCCCCAGCAGACCATGTCTCTGGTGTGGTGGTGATGGGGGGCTGGCAGGTGGTCAGGTAGGCTCTAAGTCTGCCCTTACAGATGGAGAGGTGGCCAGGCGATAGTCCAAAATCCTGCCATGGTGGCAGTTTGTGTTTGGGAAAGTGCTCGGGGCTATAGTTCTCTGACGTGGTCTGCTTACCTGGAGGCCTGCTGCCTGCCAGGAAGGGGTGCTAATGCACTGAGGAAAATGCTCTGGTCTCAGGATCCGGCTCGTGGGTGGAATCCTATAGTGAGACCTGTTATCTCCCTACTCTCCCCGGAGTAGTAAGGCTGCCCTTGGGGGCCCTGGGTGGACACGATGCCCAGTCTACTCATCCTTTGTGTCTCTCGTGAGCATCACCTCCTCCAGGAAGACTTCCCTGACTTTCCCTACTCCTTGCCTCAGCTTAGGTTAGAGGCTTTGGCTGACACTTATTACATGACCTACGTCCTGGCTTCTGTGTGAGACAGTGTGCTCCTTGAGAGCGGGACCCTCTCTACCACAAGCTTCACACCTAGTGAGTGCTCTATGAATGTTCATTGAATGAATGCATGAGCTGGTAAACCTCCTCTCTCATCATCTAAAATTTACTGTGTGGGCTTTGGAGAGGGCTGTGGTCCTGAGGCCTCTACCACCAGCAGCTTCCGAGGACAGAGCTCCCAAGGGTGTATTTTGTGGCTGACTTGAAGCCAATAGATCCTTTTTGTTTCATCATCAGCTCCAGGCCAAGGTTCAGAGATGGTAGGGAGGAAGAACCATACCAACCCTGCTGGGAGGCAGTGGGCTGGAAAGAGCTTGGGCTTTTCAGCCAAACAGACCTGGATTTGAATCCTAGATCCACCACTGACTAGCTGGGTGACCTCAGGCAAGTCTTTTAACCTCTCTGAGCCTCAGAGGAATTATTTGTAAAATGAGTCTCATAATCACACTTGCTGCTGAGGATTGTTGTTAGGATTAGATGAGATAGTGTATGCAAAGCACCGTGCCTGGCATATTGTGAGCTCTCAGTAGATAACAGCTGCCATAATAAAAGTAATAATAATTGTGTTATTGTTAGGCATATGCTAGGAGCTAAGGATGCAAAGAAGTGTAAGGGATAGTCACTACGCTTGGAGGGGCTGACCATGTTAGTTGGGGAATTGAGACACATATTTTAAAAAGCTGTCACACTGATGGTGGCACGTGGGGCAGCCTGTGGTACTGCCTGAAATGACTTTATGCTATTGTTTTCTTGTTTCTTATTGGTCTCCACTTGACTGCAAGCTCCATGTGGGCAAAGACTTTGTCCCCAGTGCCTAGCACACAGTAGGAGCTCAGCAAATATTTGTTGAATGAATGAGTGACAAACGTAGGACACATTAGGTTTAGAATGTCCAGCATGAGCCTGTTACTGAACCAAAGTGGGTCTACTTCCCGGTGAGTTGAAATCAGAGACTTCACCAGAAGTAGTTGTCACACAAAGTAAAATTTATTTGTAGCAAATAGGAGACCACATGGAATCATTTCCGAAGTCGTGGCTCTCCCCAAGCACGGGACAGCAGGGGCCTTTTATTTCGGATGGGGAATGAATATTCAAAAGGGAAAGGTGGGTAGTCGCTCGCGCAGGCTCAGTTGGCTCATCTGTGTAGGCACTGCTCTTGTGGTGGGGCTCAGTCTGATTCAGGGTGGTTGGTGATTATATCTCTTAATATAATAACAACAAAAAAACCATTGGGAGAAACAGTTAAATGCTTCTGAAACCTCCCTTGAGTTCCTCGGGGCAATTAGTTGGTGACAAACCCAACCTTGTCCTCTGGGGTTCCTACCTGTTCCTCAGGGGAGGTCCTGGGAGGGGGGCAGGGCCCCACACTCCACTGTGTGCCTCTGCGTGTGACTCTCCCTTGGCTGCTGGTCACTGGAAGTGGCTCTGGATTTTGCAAGGTGATGAAGGACAGCGAAGAGAGAAGTCATGGCCCCAGTGGCCGGTGGCTGCTGCACAGTGCCAGCTTGGAGGAGGGGGCCCAGTTCCGGTGACTCTTTGCCCCCAGGCTGGACCCAGGGCCCAGGAGACAGAATCCTTCCGGCTCCTGGTCAGGAGTTCTACCACTTGCTAAGGAGAGTGGGAGATTGAGAACAGATGATCTCAGAAGTGGGAAAGACTGTCACGCTGAAGATGCCTTTGAGATACCCCTGATCTCCCCTAACCTCTTCAGCCCACCCCTCATGTGATTCTTGAGGAAACTGAGGCTCAGTGAGGTGAAGATCACATGGCTCATGGAAGATGGAAAAAACCCCAACAACTCAAACCTCCTGACTTTCAGGCCATGTTGAGCCCTTTCCCATAAAAGAGACTCATTCTTTTTTTTCACTGAGATATAATTGAAATATGATATTATCTTAGTTTCAGGTATACAACATAATGATTTAATGTTTGTATATATTGCAAAATGATCACCACAATAAGTCTAGTTAATGTCTGTCACCACACAGTTACCAATTTTTTCTTCTTCTTTTGATGAGAACTTTTAAGATCTATTCTCTTAGCAACTTTCAAATATACAGCACAGTATTATTAAGTATAGTCATCATTGCTGTACATTACATCCCCGGGACTTATTTATTTTATAACTAGAAGTTTGTACCTTTTGACTCCCTTTACCCATTGTGCCCACCTCCCACCCCCACCTCTGGCAACCACCAACCTGTTCTCTGTACCTATGAGTTTTTTTCAGATTCCGCATGTGAGATACAGTATTTGTCTTTCTCTGTTTGACTCAATTCACTTAGCATAATGCCCTGAAGGTCCATCTATGTTGTCGCAATGGCAGAATTTCCTTATTTTTTTATGGCTGAGTAATATTCCATTGGATATATTCCATATATGTCCATATTCCATGGATATATAATATTCCATATATATCCATATATATATATATACATCACATTTTCTTTCTTCTTTTTTTTTTTTTGTGAGGAAGATCAGCCCTGAGCTGATATCTGCCAATCCTCCTCTTTTTGCTGAGGAAGACTGGCCCTGGGCTAACATCCATGCCCATCTTCCTCCACTTTATATGGGATGCCGCCACAGCACCGCTTGACAAGCAGTGCGACGGCGCGTGCCGGGATCCAAACCGGCGAACCCCAGGCCGCCGCAGTGGAGCGTGCGCACTTAACCGCTTCCGCCACCTGCTGGCCCCTACACCACATTTTCTTTATCCGTTCATTCATCATTGGACATTTAGGTTGTTTCCAGAGATTCATTCATTCATTCATTCATTCATTCATTCATTCATTTAGTATTTATTGAGAATCTACTGTACAACAGTCTCTGTCTTAAATTCTGGGGCTATGGGCCGGCCCTGTGGCTTGGTGGTTAAGTGCGCGCGCTGCAATGCTGGTGGCCCGGGTTCGGATCCCGGGTGCGCATCGAGGCACCACTTCTCCGTCCATCCTGAGGCCGAGTCCCGCATACAGCAACTAGAAGGATGTGTAGCTATGACACACAACTGTCTACTGGGGCTTTGGGGGGAAAAAGTAAAATAAATAAAATCTTAAAAAAAAAAAAAAAAAAATTCTGGGGCTAGAGGAGGGAACAAAACAAAACTTCTGAACATCTGACCTCACAGGACTTCCAGTCTAGCAGTAGAGACAGACAACAAAAAGGGAACACTTAAGTGTGTAATGTGGCATCAGGGTGTTCTGCTGGAAGTGGTGGTGTGAGCTGCTCCACACCTCTGGTCCTTCAGTCTTTGATTGGTTGTCCAAAGATGACAGGTGAACCTCACCCTGAGGCCTGTGGGTGGAGGGGCGAGACAAATGGGCCCAGGGAGCCTTCGAGGCCAGGAGTTGACTTCCTGCTGAGTGGGGGAGGCCAAGCAGCACGGGCAGGAGGCCCGTCTGATGGGAAGGTATCAGGGCCCCCTGGCCCTACTCTCACCCCTCTCTCTGTCTCCGCAGCTGTGTGCCAGCCGCCCTGCCAGAACAGGGGCTCCTGCAGCCGGCCCCAGCTCTGCGTGTGCCGCTCTGGCTTCCGCGGAGCCCGCTGCGAGGAGGTCATCCCTGAGGAGGAATTCGACCCCCAGAACTCCAGGCTGGCTCCCCGCCGCTCAGCAGAGGGTTCACCCAACCTGCGCAGGAGCAGCACAACCAGGGAAAGCACCGTGGCCCGAACACGGCCACCAGCACCACAGCTGCCGCTGGCCAGGTAAGTCCCCTCCTCAGTGGGACCTCGGGTCTGAGGCGCAGTCTTTCTCTGGAGGGGCTTGTTCCTTAGGACCACTTGGTGAAGACCTTGGCGGAGAAGGCTGGGGTTGTCCTTCCTTCCCTCCTCCCCACTCTCCTCCCCTTTCCCTGCCCCCACCAGAGGCAGGGAGAGCAGGAGAGCAGGTGTTGGGGTTGCTGCAGGCTTTGCCAGGCTGGGGTGGAGAGGGGAGGTGGGAGGTGAAGTCTTTACCCTCCAGGTCCTGGGAGAAAGCTGAGGAGGGCATATTCCTGGGACCAGCTCTCTTGTTTTTTGTGAGGTTTTTTTGGTGAGGAAGATTAGCCCTGAGCTAACATCTGTTGCCAATCCTCCTTTTTTTGCTGAGGAAGATTAGCCCTGGGCTAACACCCAAGCCCATCTTCCTCTACTTTATATGTGGGACACTGCTACAGCATGGCTTGATAAGCGATGCATAGGTCTGTGCCCGGGATCCGAACCTGCGAGCCCTGGGCTGCCGAAGCGGAGTGCGAGAACTTAACTACTATGTCACCGGGCTGGCCCATCAGCTCTCTTGTTTTGAATCCTGGCCTTGCCACTTCCTAGATGGGTGACCTTGGGCAAGTTACTTACCTCTCTGATTCCTTATCGGTAAGGTGGGGACAATGGTGACAATCATAGTCATGGAAGTGTTGTAAAGATTAGGCTAGTTAACATAAGGACAGCACTTAGAACAGTGCCTGGCACATAGTCAACTCTTTACAAATATTCCTGCTCCTCCTCCTCCTGGGCCTGTGGTCTCTGTGATGCAGGAAGGACTCCTCTGCCAGAAAAAGCCTCTTCAGTTCATCACCACCCAGCAGTAACCTCACTCCTTGGAGGAGAAGAGAAGGAGCTTGGGGGGGAAGGAAGTAGCCTAGGAAGTGGGCAGGGGGAGTGTTCGCAGGCAGGATTCCCTGGCCTGCTTGCCAGCCAACCTGGCTAGACTTTTTTGAGCTCAGGACAGGAAATCTGAACTTTGTAAACCGGTCTATTTCTAGGGGGCTGTGTTTTCTTTTTGGTTTTTCAGGTTAGTTTTTCCATTCGCTTCCTACTTAGGAACTTCTTTCTGAAATGTTGTAACATTGTCTTGATGAACTAAGGGGAAAAAGGATTTGCCCTCTCAGAGGCCAGGAGAACCAGGAGAGGAGGTTGACTTCGAGGTCATGTCCCCAGCCAGAAAACTCAGGAGAGAAAGGAAAGGAGCTTGAGATTGCCCAGCAACCCTAAAGGGGGATTGCAGTGGGCAGGCAGACCAGGGTCTTGGTAAGGAGGAGTTCCAGGGCCCCGACCACCCAAGCAAGGGGTTTCCAAGGGCAGCCAGGAGCAGGAAGAGCCAAAGGATGAATTCAGGTTGAGGCCTACGTAGCTCCAAGGTCAAAACCATAAGAGCCAAACTCTTTGGCCAAGGCCCTGGGATGCTGGGGCAGAGAAAGGTGCGGAACTAAGCAGCCTGGTGTACAATGTAGGGGAAGGGCAGACCTCCTGGGATTGGCTGTGAGTAGGTGGGCGGGGCTGAGCCTTGTTCTGATTGCGACTGCAGGTGGGCCTGGTGTGAAGGCACCTGGAGGAGCACCAGAGGTGCCAGCTCCAGGGCCAGCCAGGAGCAGGATGGGAGCAGAGTCCTTCCAGCTGGGCATTCCCTCTGCAAACTCTCTTTTGGCTTGTGGGATTCATTCTGTTTATAATGTGTGGATCCCGTGTGTGTGCTCATGCATGTGAGTGTTGGGGGTGGTCATCCTGCCCCTTGCACCCTTGAGTCGGAGCTGTTTGACATATCCTGCCCCGTCTTCCCAGCCCATCCTACTCCTCTATTCTTCAAAGCCCAGTCCCACTTCCTCCAAAAACCCTCACTTGATCACTTCCACCCAGCTATCTGACCCCTTGCAGCACACCCCCCTCTGGGTCTGTGCCCTGCCTCTGCAATTAGATAGTGTGGCCTGCACCCTGGAAGGCGGCGACTCCGCCTTGTGCTCTTTGAATCTCCCCACAGCTCCTCCCACCTTCCTAACTTATAGAAAGTGCTCAGTCTGCGCTTGCTCTCTGTCACTCCGTCCAAACTGAAGAGTTAGCCTAACAAAGGGCCCACTTGGCATTGAACCCCCACCCTGTACCTCGAACCAAGGGCACCACGCCCTGTGCTGCTCAGAGTGCAGGAGGAGGGGAGGCTCCATGCTACCCTAGTGCAGTGCTTTTCCCTCTGCCTTGGGATGCTCTGTTTCTTTGCTCACTGAACCAGGAGCTCCCTGAGAGCAGGGCGTGTGTCCTGCTCATTCATGACTGTGTCCCTGGTACCTAATACCATGCCTGGTACACTGTAAGAGCTCGGTCAACAAAAGTTGGATGAATAAATGAGTGAGGCTCAATGATGGGGAGAGGAGGAGGCTGGGAAGGAAGTAGGACGAGCTATGTGAGCCTTCGATCCCCCAGCAAAGGTTTTGTGTGTACAAGAGGCGGTGGAGGGCCAAGGCCTGGGGTGAGGTCTCCGGCCCACAGCAGGGCTGTCCTCTGTCAGCTTCACAGGCTCCCTGGCCAGGGGCTACTATGATGTTTTTAATGAGCTGCAGCCTCCAGGCCGGCCCAGTCTCTCTCTCTACCCTGTGGCCTTAATGCCATGAAATCTGGGAAAGTCCGAGTGGCCTGCTGTCGGCCCAGCTGTGTTTTGCTTTAGAAGGCCAAGTCCCGCTTGCCTGGTGGTGTCAGACATTTCCTGTGAGCTTGGCCAGGTTTCCCAGGCAGCCGCTAGCCTCTCTCCTGAGAGCAACTTGGACAGGCCCTTGGTGTCCAGATAGAGGGGGTGACATGATGCAGGGGCATTCTAGGAGCCAGAGGGGGCACAAAATGTCCAGGGAGGGGAGATACTGCAGGGCTTGTGGTGGCCAGAGGCCCCCTTTAGGAAAGCGCTAGACAGAGGCCAAGAGACTTGTGTCTCAGAAGGAAGGGCCAGGAGTCTCGGGCAGCAGGCAGCGTGCCCTGCAGAGCCAGACGTGGATTGATGTTGTCCAGCTGCGGCCTGGCTGGCTGCGGGGGCCTGGAGACTCCCTCTGAGGCCCAGGTCCAGGCTTCTTCCCCAAGGCTGGGCAGAGGGCCTGCCCCACCTGGGGAGCAAGAGGCAGGCAGCAGGGGAAGGGCCTTGAGAGATGGGGAGGGGGTGGTTACAAGGACCTGGGACCAGCAGGCCTTGGAAAACAGTGCATTACATCAGTGCTTCTCAAACTGCAACAGGCATGTGAATCACCCTGGAACTTGTTAACACACAGCTTCTGATTCTGCAGGTCTGGGGTGAGCGTCTCTAACATGGTGTCAGGTGATGCTGATGCTGCTGGTCCATGGACCACACTTTGAGTAGTGAGGGTCTGAAGTAGTGGGCTTTTGATTCAGACAATCCTGGGTCCCAATTCTGGTTTTACCACTCTCCAGCTGTGTGACATTAAGCAAGCGTCCTGACTTCTCTGAGTCAGTAGTCTCCTCCTGGTAGGATTGCAGAGAGGATGAAATGAGACCATGTGAGCAGAGCACTTAGTATGGTGCCTGATATGAGTTCGTGCTCGACACATGTTAGCCATCAGCGGGCTGGTTCTCTTTGCCATGAGGACAGGATGCTGTGCAAAGAGCAGACAGAAAACCAGGGTGCATGAGTGTGTGTGTGTGCGTGCACACAGACTGCTCTGGGGGGAAGTCAGAGCCCAGACCCAGCCTCGGGAGGCGTGACTAGCAGATCCAGCAGTCACACCAGTAGTGGCTTTGGCTGGCTTGGTTGTTCCACCAGGACCATTCTCACCACCCCTACTGGAGAGTTGGCTAAAGGGAAGCCTCACGATATTTCTCAGAACGGGAGGGACCTCCACTGGGTTCGCTTCTTAGCCTGACCTAAGGGCCTAACAGCTGGGCCCTGGGGACAGCAGGATGGTCAGTACTTGGGCAACAAGGGGCCTGGAGGACAGTGTAGAGCCGCGCAAGCAGGGGTGGCCGGGAGGTGTCCGGGAAGCTGTGGGCCCCATGTTGGTGGCTCTCAGCAGGCTGCTCGCCCAGAAGGCAGCTGGGGTCCGCCTTCTTTTTATTGACCTGGTCTCTCCCTCTCCTTCTGGATCTCCTCTCTGCATACCCCACCTCTTGATCCACTGTATTAGTTTTCTACGGCTGCTATGATAAATTATCACAAACTTAGCAGCTTAAAACAATGCAAACTTATTACCCCACAGTTCTATAGGTCAAACATAAGACACCGGTCTCATCAGGCTAAAGTCAAGGGGTCAGCAGGGCAGAGCTCCTGGAGGCTCGAGGGGAGAATCAGATTCCTTGCTCACTCAGGTTGTTGGCAGAATTCAGATCCTTGCAGTTGTAGGACTGAGGTCCCCACTTCCTTGCTGACTGTCACTTGAGGGCCATTCCCAGCATCTAGAAGCTGCCCACATTCCTTGGCTTGTGGCCACCTTCTTATCTTCAAAGCCAGCAACTCTATGTTTTGAGTTTCTACTCTGCCTCCCTCTTCAGCTGAATCTCGCTCACTGACTCTTCTACCTTTGTCCTGTACTTTGAAGGGTTACACTGGGCCCATTTGGAGAAGCCGGGACAATCTCCCTATTTTAAGGTCAGCTGATCAGCAACCTTTATTCCTTCTGCTACCTTAATTTCCTTCGGCCGTTCAATGGACATGTTCAAAGGTGCAACACTAGGGGACAAAGATCATGGGGGCGAATAACACCCACCCACTGTAGCCCCTTCCAGCTCAACCCTCCATCTGAAGTGTAACAGCCCACTCTTATCAAGGGCTTGCCACAAGGGCGGCCCTACATGATCTGGCCCACAAACCTTTCTGACATCTCCAATGTCAACTCTCGCCACTCACTCCCCTCATCCACCCTGCTTCTGCCACACTGGCCAACTGGTTTTTCCTCCAACAGGCCAGAGATGCTCCCACATCAGGGTCTTTGCACTCGCTGCCCCCTCCACTCCCTGGAATACTG